CTTCCAGGGTGTCGTCCAGCCCCACCAGCATCCCCCACCGACCTCCCCCGTGGCCCCGGCGACCAGGCACCCATTCTATGGGTTGTACAAGGATGCCCCCATGCCTTTTGAGCTCTGGCCAAGAGCCATGGTGTCCGCCCTGGCCCATCACGCCCCCGCTACCGAGGTCGACCACCCCATGGCGTCCACCGGCCGATCCACCCCCGCTGCCCTCCGCAGCTATGTCAGGCGAGTCCGACGGTCCTGCCGGCTACTCCCCCCACTCCATGGTGATGTCTGGCTGCGTGTGCTCTACCGCATGCTCCCAGTCAACTGCCGCTTCGCCCACCTCCAGGTCGAGCGGCCTGACGCGATCTGCTGCGCCTACGGCTGTGGCCGGGTGGAGACCCAGCACCATGCCCTCCACGCCTGCCCCCAAATCCACCCTGTGTGGGCGTTCCACCGCGGCGCCTGGGGCCATTACGGGGTGAGCTTTTCATGGTCCACCATCTCGGACCCCGACCTTTTCGAGGTCAACCAAGTCGGGGACCCCCACAAAGAGGCCCTGGGGATCCTGTGGCGCCTGCTCGTTGGCGATGCTCAAAGGTCGCGTAATATTGAAAAGCAATATAATGATTTCGGATTTTTATTGCGGACCTGTTTGAGCAATCTTGCTTTTTGGCGCGAAAACTTCCTTTCCCTCCCTTACTGTCAATAGGCACACCCTCTAATTTTCTTCATTATCTTTCACACGTGATTAGTTTCATCGAGTTTCGTGAAGAATTGATATTTCGGGGTCGATGAAATGAGAAATGTCACAAGTAATCTGGAACAGGGGAAGTAGATCTCAATCAGGTTGTACTGCGACAGCTTCTGCCGCTGGCGCAAATGACGCAACATTGCCACATCGGGTGAACAGATTATTTGAACATATCAAAGGGCGCACTCAAGGACCGAACGAACGACGAGATGTCAACCATTGTGGCTCGAAGCCGCCTGACACAGCGTGCATCCGATATATAGTGTGCTTCACACTAAATAATTGAATACACGATGCAGGTTTATTCTTTAGGGGGTTTTCGGAGCGACTTTGCGTCAGCGATTTTTGGAGTTCGACAAACAACGCTGAAATTTCATCGACTGTGGGAACATTCAATCGACAAACACAATTGGTCAAAACAATAGCCAATGAATAATGTCCATTCATGACCATCCAAACGATTCTTGCCATTCATCGACTCGAATGTCGTCGCCCACGTCATTGAAGTCTCTACCAACAAAGCGTGCCGCCAAAGTCAAGAGGGCCGTGACGGCTGAAAAGTCTGCCAAGACTGTATGGACCGCCGACATGGTGTCGACGCTGTTGGATCGGCGTTGCGACGACTTCGCAGCAAGCTTTGAACTACATAGAAGCGCAGTTCAATTGTCAGTCTTGTGGGGAAAGATCGCTTGGGCTGTAAATGTACAACATGGAACAAACATACCAGCGTTGGCAGCAAAGTACAAGTATTCCAGCCTTAAGCGCGAGTACTCTGCCATCCGAATGGCCGAGAAAGAAACTGGAAATGGCCCCCCTGTGGTGTACCCCATGTATTGGGACTGTCTTCTTTCGGCTCTGGGCAGCAAGGACGGCCTCGGTCATGTCGAATACGCGTTTGGAGCAGGCCGCAACGTGGAAGAGAGCGATGGAAGTGATGATGCTGTCACTGAGCGTGACGACAAGAAGCGTCAATCGATTGTTGATACCGAAGTTGCGCGGCAGCGTGCAAAAAGTCAAAAAAGTTGGACATTGGGCAGAGTCTTGTTGCTCTTGGCGAGAGCCTGGCTGAAGGAATGAAAGGTTTGCATCCAACGACGATGAACAAAAACAGGAAAATGCAAAGTTATTGTCAGCTATCGAAAAGTTGCAGGTCGCTGTGGAGCAAAGCACTTCAATCCAAAGTGAACATCTCAACTTCCTTCGTCAAAACAATTAGTTGTCGAATGTTGTATTAAAACTTAAACAAACTCATGAAGATATTGTTTAACATTGTCACGTGTTGTCTTCGCCAAATCACTATCGATTGTGAACTGTTCGTTGGAGAATGTGATGTCACCGCCGAGATGCATCCAATCTTGGTTCGCAGGCTGTGATGAGTCTGGGTCGAGGTCAATAATCCAATTATGCAACAC